CTGCATTCTAATTAACCTAGGAGCTTCGACTTGTACCTGCTGTGAGTGGAGCATATGCAGCTGAATGCAATTCTTACAAGTTTATGGAAGTCTAGAAACAACACAGATCCTTCACAGGAAACAGTAATTAATTCACAAACTCAAATACCTTTAACGTGGAAAGCCTAAAGGACTGGCGAGCTGCACACTGGAAACTGAGGACAGAGATGACAGAAAGTTTCTATTCTCTACTGGTGGTCTCCTGACAAAGCCAAATGAAGCTTCTGAAACAACTTGGTGTTGTAGAAATCAAGTGCTGTTCTCCTCCATACCCCAGCTATTTGGATGGCTTCCAAGGAAACTTGACAAGTTTTAAATGTGAAGCTCAAGCTAGCTTACCCTAAAATCCATTCTTTTCCCTAAATGGAAATTGACCAAACAGGAAGTACACAGTGGCAAAGAGAAGCAACATTTGTGGCTGAAGTATTCACTGGAAACAGCCTCGTTCTTTCTGACTGTGATAAAATGCAGAACTTCAAACTTGGGAGAAAACCAGCAAAGTTGGTTTCAGTATTGTGACACATGAAGAAGTAAAAAACAGGAAGATGGCTTCATTACATAAAATCCTCTCCCTGCACCCTCTGACCAATACAATACCAGAGCTATCAAAAGCGTACAGACACTGGAAGCACCTTATAATGTCATAAAAAGTAGTTTCTTTAAAACAGTTAACTATATTTGGTTTGAGGGAATTGGGGTTTTTTTTTTCTTGGTGATTATTGAAGTATCTGAGATACTACAAATTCATAATAACTATAAATCTTAAGTAGCTGTTAGCACTGCTGATTCAGTCCTATTATCAAACATACTACAAACGAACAAAGAGATTGACCCTCTTGACTTCTTTTCCTACTGCTGTATAAACAATTAAAAGCCTTACTAGGTGCAATTGATTTGTATTTCAGTTTTTAAGCAATAAACTTGAAACAGCATAACTGCGTGGTGGTAGTGCACCCCTTTAATCCCAGCACTTGGGAGGCAGAGGCTAGCCTGCTCTACAGAGGAAGTTCCAGGACAGCCAGGACAACACAGAGAAACCTTATCTCGAAAAACCAAAACCAAAATGGTCACAAAACAAAACAATGGCACATCAATACAATCCCTGATGAGCATTCAATAAGAATAAATAAATAAATATAAATAAAGCTGACTGGAGTGTATGGAGGAAGTAATTTCTTGGGCTTGTCTTTTGAGGCAGCATCTCTCTACAGAGCCCTGGCCCGCCTGGAACTCAGTATGTAGACCAGGCTGGCCTCAAACAGAGATCTGCCCACTTCTGCCTTCCAATACACCCTTGTTTACTCTCACTTGGGCATCTCTAATGCTAGCTAATAAGAACAATCAGAACATCTGACTCTGACACTTTCCTATGCATAAGGGGTAATGGGTCTACCCCACACACTGCCACACCACCCCTTGATAAAACCAAGGCAGGCGTGACATAAAACACCTGGGAATTTGTTCCTCTGCAGTAAACAACACCAGCAACTTCACAACTGCTAAAATTACTGTCAGAGTCTAGAATTCTGATTCTCAAGGGTTCTTAAATTTTTTAGGGATGGATGGACATAAGAAGCATACTTATACATTCCTATCTGAAAAATACAGTGCTGGACTAGAACCTTAAAATAGCTGTAAATACTAAGCCTATGAAACGCTAAGTAAAATTTAATTCTGTGATGTATCTGAGGTCACAGCCAATGAGTACAAGCTTATGACTAGAACATGTAACGTGTTTTTCAAGTCCAAGCTCTCTGTATTAGGATGCACATTCAAGACACTGTCTTGTAGAATCATTGTGAAAATTCTGGGAATTAAGTATCAACAGATTTATTTATTTATGTGTGTGTGTGTGGTGTGTGTGCATGTCGGGTGAAAGGACAACCAACAGAAGTCTGTTCCCTCTTCCCACCATGTGGCCAGACTAGGATCAACTGTCATCAAATGTTACCTGCTGAGCCATCTCACTGGCCCCAGTTCTGGGGGTTTCTCAGCTAAGATTATAACTTGCCTCTTTAGATATATGAATTCCAACTATAAACCTGATATTTTAACTTACTGCTCCATTCCTGGGAGTCTGTTTTCCAAGTCCTGACCAATTTCACAGCACCCAGAGGCCAAGCAAATAGCCTCCTAAGAGAAAGCCCCGTTCAGTTCCTAGTTTCATGCATAGAAGCACTATGGCACCAAGATTAAAAAAAAAAATTTCCGTGGTGTCCTAGTTTGCTTTGTTTCTGTGGTAAACACCATGCAAAAGCAGTTATTTCAGTTTCTACTTCCAAGACATCACTAAAGAAAGTCAGGCAGGATTCAAACAGGAAATGAAGCAGAGACCGGGGAGGGATGCTGCCTCCCTCTCTGGTTTATAATTAGATGGCTTTTTAAAAAACACTGCCCAGAGATGGTAATGCCTACTGTGGCCTGGGCCCATCTACAGCAATTAGTAATCAGAAAACTTCTCACAGGCATGCCCACAGGCCACCCTGATGGAGGCAATTCTTTTGGCGTTGAGGTTTGTTTTCTTCCTAGGTGACTCTAGGTTTATTCTCGGTTGTAGGTGACTCTAGGTTGTGTCAAGCTGATAATAAAAACTAACCAGTACACAGAGAGATTCTGAGTTCAGTAATTTATCAAGACACATAAATTACAAAAAAACCTTAAGCTTTCACCAAATTTTTCTCACAATTTACTGCTAGCAATAATAAAGATCTGCAAAATATCAGCTATCATCTAAAAATCCCTTCGAGAGCTAATTAAACATAGTATAGTAACTTTTTTTTTTTTTTTTTTTTGGTTTTTCGAGACAGGGTTTCTCTGCGTAGTTTTGCGCCTTTCCTGGAGCTCACTTGGTAGCCCAGGCTGGCCTCGAACTCACAGAGATCCGCCTGGCTCTGCCTCCCGAGTGCTGGGATTAAAGGCGTGCGCCACCACCGCCCGGCTAGTATAGTAACTTTTAAAAACCAAGAAATTCTAATAAAAATTCCTAACATCACGTGGACAGTCTTGCGTATTCTATCCCTGGATGTTCTTGAGTATGACTTCATCTGTCAAGTGGTTTCATTTTTAGGTGATTTACCGGTCGTGTGTTTTTTGTTGTTTTAAATGCATAGGTGGGGTGTGTAGGATCACGTGGGGTGTATGTGGAGGTCAGAGGTTTGGAACTGAAGTGTTACCCTTAGGAACATCAGCCACTTCCTTTCAGACAAGGGTTTGTACGGGCCTGGAGCTCACCAATTCCACAAGAATGGCTGGCTACTGAACCTCAGCACCTCTTTCCATTTCCCCAGTGGAGGATTTCAAGTGCTTGCAAATCTGTGCGGGATATAATCAACTTTCCTCATTCCATCTATCATCTCTTCAGTGATTTTTCTTTCATCATCTATTTCTAAGCAATAGTAGCTTAGGTTGAATGTTCCACGAACAACTCCTTCAGAGGCAAGTAAATAGTCTAAAGCCAAGCAAAATTTTGGTAAATGGCACTGCATTTTGTTTGCTGTCTGGCTAGAACAAGAACCCTTGCAATTTCATTGGTTATAACCTCAAAAACTTCCTGTAATCTGATGATGTGATTTAACATGTAATGGGAGTATGATAGTCCCAAGATCCCTTCCATCCATCCTTGTGGTCGGGCTGCAATACTGAACGATATGTTCGGGGCCCACTAATTATCCTTCCAAGTCCTAATCTGTAAAGCTTGTTGCTTCTTCGTGTTTCTAGTCCTCGTGTGCCTGTATGCCTTACTGTTCACATCTCTAGCAAGGGCCAGCAGCAGAATGACCTGGTTGAAAGGAACCCAGCACACAAAGCCCTCTGTAAGCACTCCGTAAGCTGTCCTCTCATGTCCAGTGTAGTCCACAGGAGCTTGCCATTCCATTGTCAGCTCTACAGTCCCAAGCCTGCCCGAGATGAGACCAATGTACAGCAGTTAGAGCTATTGACTTTAATTCCTTGGGAAGCTACCAACTTTGCCTCCTGGACCACTTTATCATTTCCTGGGAAACTGCAGTACCTTCTGGTGTTCCTAATAGTGCAGAATGGCCAATCTTTTTAGGATTGGTACAGTCTCTAAAAGTTCTATGATTTCCCTGGCACATTTTTTTTTTTCCTCCAGAACTATCAGGCCCCTTTCATTATATAGGGCCCTGTGTGCAGAGTTAGAAGTAGGCACAGAGCCTGTATGTATGTTGATGCCTATCCCAGCAGCCAGCGAGAGGGCTAAGGACTGCCTGTCCTCGATGCTCAAGTCTCCTTGGGCAGGTTTTAGCCACAGTGGTAGAATTAAGTGTCACTATAGAATAACCAGCAAAGGGTTCACCTTCCTTGACAAAGTTTCTGCCACCAATGAAAGTCTATATTGGTCTCTTTTAAAAAAGGCTGATTGGGCTGGAGAGATGGCTCAGTGCTTAAGAGGTCCTGAGTTCAAATCCCAGCAACAACATAGGTGGTTCACAACCATCTCTAGTAGGATCTGATGCCCTCTTCTGGCTTAAAGACATGCATGCAGATAGAGCACTTATATACATAAAACAAATGAGTAAATCTTTTAACAAAACAAAAATAAAGATGAGGCTGGTCTATTAGGACTGGGTAGCTGGCAAACACCTCATCCATGACCTCAACAGTCATGATCTGGTTGATCTGGCCCAACAGGCAGCAAACTTGAGGGGTTTAAGTTTTCTAACACCCCCAAGCGAAAGCCTTCCCTGGTATCTGATGATCATTCTGGCATTGGTGAGCCAATACTGACCCTTCTATCCACTGAAGTCATTCCTTCCTGAGCACCCAGGTTAAATCCTGGGGCATGGTCAAGTTTGGTAGCCTCTGCCACTTAATTGCTGTGACCACTCGAAGGTATGGTGGCCAGCCCTGAAAGACAAGAGTCTAGCTGTCAGGACCCAACATCTAAATTAAGTGTGGCACCAGTGTGTTCATGCACATACAGAATGAAAGGCTGCACTGTCTGGGAGTCCAAGCTGGGCACTTTATTTAGTAAGGGCCTGTTAGATCTCTTTAAAGGCTCCTGGTTGATTTTTCCCACAACAGGCTGAGTACCTGGAAGGTCTTTACAGACAGGAGTAGTACTGGTTGGACTCCTGGTGCTTTAAACCTGAGTACATGAAGTTAAGAGAGGCAGCTCGGGGTGGTTTCCAGTTAGACTCTAGTAGCCTCAGGGGACTGTACGGCCTCAGATGGAGACGGAGCTGCAGCTACAACGGATGGCAGAGGTGCTGACGGCGCGCGCTGACAAGGGTACAATTCTCCCCAACGGGCTTCTCAGGGTCTGGTCCATGTTTTGAGCTGTCGTAAAATCTCTGCTAGCATGCTTTTTACAATTTTCCTCCAATCGGGCTCGCAGCCACTGTGGGCAGGAAAGAACTGCATACATCTAGCATCCCTTTGACAACTCTCAAAACACAAGGGCAGGGAGGGAAAGAGGATGAACTCCCCTCCATCCATTACTAGCCACACCTCCTTGGGGATATTTCATGTTCTTTGGTCTTAGTGGGTCAGAGCTAGAAATCTCAGTATCGGGACCCCAGTAAGGCTACCCTGGGCTGAGGATCACCAGGAACCAGAGCGGACTCAGCTACTGCTTTGGCCTGTGTGGTCAAGTCCCTTGTCTGACTCATTTAAAGATACTCATACATTTCCAGCTCACCATGCTACCTTGAGCCACTGTAGAAGTCCAACCTGTATCAACTACTTGGGCTAGTCCTGGGGTTCCAGGAAGTGGTCAGGCCCCTCTTCTGGCTCCCAGGACTTAGCAGGTTCTGATGTGCTTCAGGGGTCTCTGCCCTGGCAAAAAGGGAGGCAAAATCACCATCACCAAATCCCAGACAGAACCATCAAGAACAAAGAGACGGGACACCAAGGCTTCTGAAGGAAAACGGTTTTTATTTGTGGTAGACAGACTAGACTGTCTAGACTATGTACAGCCTTTGATATGCTTTTTGTTTCTCTGCCTCCCATACATGGCAACACATAATTTCACTGGCTATTTTCAAACCACAGGGTGGGGGGATTCTGGAAGTGCTAGAATGCAGAGGAAGCAAGCAAGGGCTGCATGGGTAATGGACAAGGTCACACATAAGCATTCTGGCAGAGCCTGGAGCACATGGTGGTCTCCTTGTTCTTCCTCCAAGGTCTACGGGAAGGCCTGCTACCAAGTGCTGAGAGTAAGTGACTGCTGAGTGCTCAGCTCTAAATAGGACATTTATATAACCCACTTCAAGGCTCAGGGGACATCACTGAGGAGGCAGAAAGAATGTAAGAGCCAGAGGAAGCCAAGAGATACGCAACCCTGACCTGACCGTTGCACCCTTGAACTCATGGTAGCTACTCGAGATCCTCCACTCACGATCCGAACAGGACTGGGCCTGCTAACATCTGCTAACATCTCGTCAGGAAGGGAGAGGGTCTCGTGGGGCCTCACTCCTCCCTGAGTAGTTACAGCTTGCTTGATAGAGGGAGCTTTCTTCAGGAGTGTGTACTCACTGATAGGGTGCCCATACACTTGTAAGCAAAGCCAAGAGACTTACTGGGCGGGAGAGGAAAAACCCTCGGAATGGGGACAACAGAACACATCCAAGTGCAAGTGGGGATCAGTGGGAGTCGACGAGTACAACATTAAAAAGAAAGTAATAAAGACGCCAGGCACAGTGGTGCACACTTGTAACTCCAGCACCAGGGCCCTAGGGAGACTAAGGCAACATGACATTCCCAACTATATGATGGGAGCCTGTCTCAAAACAAACAAAAAACCAAACAGACAAAAGCAGACTAGTTAAGGTTCAAAAAAAGGAAATGTATGGCTTAGAAAACTGAGAAACAAACCAAATAAAAATATCTTGTCGGGCAGTGGTCACACAGGCCTTTGATCCCGGCATGTGAGAGGCAGAGGTAGGCAAATCTCTTGAGTTCAAGGCTAGCCTGGTCTACAGAGTGAGTTCCAGGAAAGCTAAGGCTACACAGAGAAACCCTGTCTTGAAAAAAAAACAAATCTTAAGGTGAGTGTGATGGCCAATGCCTTTAATCCCAGCATTTAGGAGGCAGAGGCAGGAGGATTTCTGTGAATTTGAGGCCAGCTTAGTCTACAATAGTGAGTTTCAGGCCATCCAAGATTTGACCCTATCTCAAGAGGCAACAACAAAAATTAAAAATCATCTTTAATTGATGTTCATTCCCCAGTCTCAAAGTCCTCTGGAAACCTGAGAGGGCAAATGCTCCACAGGATTCTAGCGTGTAGCTGATTCTAGCAACTCTGACGACACAGACCTCACTTTTCTGCCCTCGTCTTTTGCCAGGCATCCTTTCCCAATTGTTTTACTACCTGAAACAGCTTTTCTCAAGAACTCGTGCTCACAACTTTCCATTTACTAGCCCTGGGTTCTGCTTGCTTAAAGGAATGCTTCTACAATATGGAACCTTCACTGATCTTTCACCAGGAACCACTATTTAAATCTTCAAAAATAACCAGCTGGGCACAATGCTGCACTGCCTTTCATCCCAGCACTCGGGAGGCAGTAGCAGGAAGATCTCCTAGTTTGAGGCTAACCTCTTTTGAAGTATTTAGATTAACTTTGCATGTTTAATCATGGTATTTATTTTATTCACACTACACTCCCTAGGCAAAGGTCTTTGGAGGAATGTCATTAAGTAATCCAGGTCTGCTGTAATCCCTATGCTGAAATGTGCTGTCATTCTAGTTTAATTACTTGTGAATGAAAACCACCGTTCATGTGGTCATAAAACCAACAACGAAGTCCAACAGGGCAGAAGATCATCCATGTATGTAAGTATGCCTTAAAAATAATAACAACAGCACCCGTTCTGGCTTTTGAGCTTAGAGCCCTGTGGATGGCAGGCAACACACTTACAAGCAAGATCAACATCCCTGGTGCCCAAAATAAAAAGTCTGATTAGAATTATGTAATCCCCCCAAACTCAATCTTTTGGGGGAGCAGCTATAGTCAATCTAGCTGAATCCATTCTATTTCTCAACATATCCCAATGCTTCCACAAATAAACTGTTTTCCGAAGGGTTACACAAGTCCACGCATGCATACACATATAACATGGCCAATCATTCACTTAAGGATGAAGTAAAATTACAAACCAGAACCAGGCTTTTAAAACAAGTAGCAGATCCTAGGTCTTCCAGAGCCAGAGCACCTCGGTTCTCCCCACAAAAGCCAGTGTTATTCTGAAAGACAAAGAGTGCATTATGAGCATGTTTCACCTTAGACCAGAACACACTGTTATGTTAAAAATGATTTTGCCTCTGAACTGCCTTCACCAATATGAACTTCCTCCATCAGGCTTTTATGAATAGTAAAAGAATGAAGCCAAGCACACACACCATGTTCTGTGATAAAAACATCAAGTACTAACAAATACAAAGTAGAAGCAAGGAATCACGGGGTATGCACAGGAAGTAGTTCCCACTACTCTGGACACTGAAGCAGAAGGTCCTCTGAGCCCCAGAATTTGGAGCCTTCAGGTAAAAGTGAAATCCTATCTCAAAAAAAAAAAAAAAAAAATCCAGACATTGGAACACATAAGCGGGCAAATAAATAAATACCCAGGGCCCAGGAGATGATTCTGTAGGGCAGAGTGCTGCTAAGCCTGGTGACTGGAGATGGAGTGTTGGAACCTACATGGGAGATGGAGAGAGCTAATTCTCCCAAAGCTGTCCTCTGACCTCCACCCAGATGGTGCCATGTGCACACCATACCCTGAAATAAATGTATAAAAAATGGGGGGAAAGCATTAAAATGTCCTGACCTAATATTTCAGTAAGAAATACCACCTATGGCAGCTAGTTACCTTCTCACTGGAATCTGTAAAAGCTAGTTTGTTCTTTCATTTACACCTGACACAATAATCCAGTAAAAGGTCTAGGGGTAAGTATGTTGATACATTCTTTTTTTGTTGTTTCTGAGGCAAGATCTCATTAGGCAGCCCTGAATGGCCTCATGGCCCCACTCTTCAAAGTGCTAGAACTGCAGGCTCGCATTACCAGGCCCAGCTGATATATCCTTAATGGCTTTTTTCAATCTTCATATTGTGCATGCAGTGGAGGAATCCGAGCTCCTGAGGCACCGAGGCCAAAAGGCTGGTGATGTTGGGTGTCTTCCTGTTCACTTTCTACTCTTTTTCCTTACTAAAACTGGCTCCACTGGCTGGCCATCCAGGCCTCAGGGATCCATCTTCCTGCCTCCATTCACTGAGCAATGGAGTCAGCTCTGTGTGTGCACACTGGGGAATCTGAACTAAGCTCCTCATGCTCCTGCAGCGTGACTTCTACCCACTAAGTCATTTTCCCAGCCCTCAATCCATGTTATTATTAATAATTAAAACTCCGTTCAATTGTAATATTAAAAACTTGAAGATCAAGACAGAATGTTACATTTTTAGAAAAGAATTACTGTTAGCTGTAGTGTATTATCTTATTGTTCTATATACTTTATTTACAAATATACACACAATTCATGTTTACATATACAAGTACTAGGTGTAAAATGATCAAGAGTGATTCAAAACAGCTTTGCCTTTAGCAAACAGCCAACTGATTGTCAAGAAAGTGGGGTGAGAAGTACGTTAAGGGTCCTGTAAGACTACCAAAGCGCCGAGGGAACTTTAGGAAGAAGACTCTGAGGAAACAACCTGTTCTTAGTATACCTAGATGCCATTTTCTGTGTGGAAAAATGTTTCAATGTAGGAATACCTCATGTCCTCTGAAATAAAAAAATAACAACTTTTGAGAATTATTCTTAGGGTCCAAGAACAAATTTCCAGTTTACTGTATGTGTAGCTTGAAGATGATGCCCTTTCTGTGAGGGGCAGTAGGGAGAACACTTGCAGACCTAGCTAGCTGGGAAGCTGAGGCTTTCGGAAAAGACCTCTGGGTCTAGGAGTTCTGGGACAGCACAGGGAACAAAGAGAAACATGGTCTAAGGAGGGAGGGGGAAAAGTAACTATCTGAATAAACAAAAAGTTGCAGAAAATTTTTGTCTTCTCATTTCTGAAAATCTATACCAAAGAAGAGCCAGGGCTGTTAAAGAAAACTAAGAAGCCTCGAAATTTTAGCCATTGATATTAGTTTTTAAGTGTAACATTTTCTAAAACTCAAGGCTTATTGTGGTTATTACAGCTATTACAAGAAAAAAAAAATCAAGAAAACTATGACAAATTAAGGATATCATGTTGACTGAACAGTTCACTGGAGGTCACCTGGCTGCCATGCTGAGGTGCCAAGGAAGGGCCTGCATTCAATCACAGCACAACCAAAAATTTAAATCATGGTCCATCTATTCCAGGTATCCACAGACTGTGTTTTATAGGCTAACTACTTCTGAGGATCCTACGTTTTTCCTTAGGAAAAAAACTAGTAACAAAATGAACACAACTGTATCCTTAAAAATAAAATCATTTTAAAAAACATTCCAAGTCTATGCGTACAGAATAAACATAATTTTGTAGGAAAGACTGCTAGAGATTTTTATTTTATTTTTCACTAATTTTCAAAGGCACACTGGTGTAAATTATTTATATTTAAAACGGAATAGTGAAATTATGTGTGAATGATTACCACCAGGGACGATCAGAAGTATACTTTTCTTAAAAAACAAAATGACTACAACAGAAAACAAAAAATCCTTCACTCCTAAACTCTCACTCCTAGGACCTTTTAAAGAGACTTTTAAATCAGAGTGGGAGGTCAAAATCGTGAAAATATTCAGATTCTGACTTAAAACATTCAGTGTTTAAAAGTCCAGAAATAAAAATCAGGCAGAGTGGCACCGTGAGATCAAGTGAAGGTCATCCTTGGCTACTTCAAGGTCACGGCAAGGTCCAGACCAGCTTGGACTACCCAAATCTTGTCTCAAAAAACCCAAGTCCAGAAAGGAGACCACCAGGAATAGGTGAACGCAAATACTGAGGGTGGCTTTAGCTGTGGATTTCATTCTGGTTTAACATCAGGAAGCTAATTAAACCGACTCATTTGAAAGCTTGAACAAAACCTTTCAATAAACACTCACATTCTAGGATTTAGTTGGAGTCTACAGAAAACCTCTGCACACCCTCCTTCCACAATTCACAAGATTTCAATATACACTAACACTCACCGGTGATTGAGTTGTCACAGAGGTGTCTTGTCTTCAGCACCATTCTAGAAAGACAAAAATCCTCAATGAATTATTTACTCCCTCAACTATTTTTCTAGTTTTGAACATCACCGAAAACAAGCAGTAAGATTTGAAACACAGTTACCACTAGGGCACTTAGTAAAACGACCAAAATAACACTTCACAATCCTAATAATAAATTTGAGAAAAATAAGTTACAAATAAAAAGTTGATTTGGCTTTCGTTACGGTGTCCTCTACTGGGCAAATTTAGCGTGGTTAGTATTTCCCACCTTAATTTAGTGTGCAAGCTATCGGCAGTAATTCAATGGTGAAAGAGTTTTTTTTGTCTCATTTAACAAGGCAAGGTGCTGACGAATAAACCCACGCCTGTCCGGTCGGGAGAATCCTTTCATCTAAGACAATGTCGGAGCTTCCAGCATCACTACTGCCGTCCGTGAAAAGGTGCTTATGGCACACGCCTCATGCAGTGACAAGAGGCGCTTGTCTAAGGTCATAGTGGCTGCGGCGTCCGTCCCGGCAGGTACAATCCTCAGCATTCCGAAAGCCAGGGCTTCCACGTTTCCTCCCCGCTTCGCAGTCGGGGGGACAAACCTTCCCCGCAGCCCCCGCAGCACGTTTCGAGAAACCACACCTCCTCCGCCTGAACCGGGGCGGCTGCCCTTGGGCCCCTGGGGTCTCAGCCTCCGAGACGCATCCCGGAGGGCGGAGAGGCTGCTCCGTGGGGCGATGTCAGTCAACGTCGCCCCCGGGCGCACAGGGGCGCCACGGATCGCCGGAGACAGCTACACGTGCGGCCCCCCGGCCTCGCCCCCTGCCTCCGCCCCCGCCCGCGTCCCCGCTCCGCCGCCGGACAGCAGCTGCTCCCATGACTGCCCTGGCTTCCGGTGCTCCCGGAGCTGCGCCACCCCCCGAGGGCCACCGGACACCTGCAGCCTCCCACAGACCTTGCGGACGGCTCCGCCACCCTTGGCCAGGCGTGGTCCGGGAGCGGACGGTAAGCCGGTGCCGCTCAGAAATAAACCTACCGGGGAAGAGTCCGCTTCCTCGCTCCCCGGGACACAGAAAATGGGATAGCGCCGTGGCCGCTGCTGCCGGGACAAAATGGCGCCGGGAAACCGGGTCGGCGCAGGCGCCCGGGGAAGACCCGGCTCCGCCCCCGTGCCAAACCCTGGCCGCAGTTCTAGATTCCGTTTCCATGGGACGCGCCGCCGCCCAATCCCCGCGCGGGACTGCTCTTCCTGACCCCTCTCTCCTCCAATCAGTGCTCAGTCAGGCACATCCGGAGTCGGCTCTTCCAATCCCGTCTCTGGGCTCCCTTACTCAATCCCCGGCCCTCCAATAACGTGAGTCTCCGCGCCCAGCCAATCAGAAGTGGGCGAGGTCCTACCTGCTGTTTTCCGCACCAATCATGGAAGTTTCGCGGCTACATCCAATGAGAAAGGCAGACAGCGAGCTCCAATCCGAAGCTCTTGGGCGTCATGAGCAGCCAATGGGAGTTCGTGTAGAAGCGAGTCTGCTCAACAGCTTGTTATTTGGTGGATTGTGGCAGTAAATCGGGGCGAGTGGGGGAACCCGGCGCAGGAACTGCCGCGGCGGCCGGGAGCGGTGCTTCCCGGACGGGGGCCCACGGCGGTCAGTAAGGCGGCAGGCTGGAGAGCTGACAGCGCGCTGCACCCGCAGTAGGTGGGTAGGCAGCGGGGCAGCGGGGGCCGCTGAATGGGCGAAGCGGCGGGAGCAGCTGCTGCGGTGATGGGGTCCCGGTGCAGTTGGGAGCTCCGCAGGCGGGGAGTGGGGGGGGGGATGCAGAGCGGGCCATGCCCGGGCTGCCGGGCAGCGATCGGGATCGGGAGCCGAGGCGGCAACTGCGGGCACGACCGCCTCGGTCGCCTCCCCGGGAAAATGGCTGTGGGGCTGACCGCGCCGCTAAGTTTGCTCCGGAGGAGCGGGCTGCCGGGGGAGGACGGGGGGAGCCGGCCCCCCAACTCCGCTGCGTGTCCTCGGCGGGGACCCGCGCCTCTCCGGGCTCTACAAAAAGTTGAGGCGGGCGCGGGAGGAGGCGGCCGCTGCGGCGGTGCGGCTCGC